CTGGTTGGTCTGGCTTGTGCCAGCCAGTTTATATTTTGGGGATGGATGGCCTATATCCTGATTAGTCTGAAACAAGAGAGAAGCCAGAAGAAGATTCTTGATGTGTCATCATCATCATCGAACCCTGGTGTTTCATGGAAAATTGCCAGATTTGTAATGGTCAGTATAAATTAGCATGACATTCATCTACATGACAATTGACTATGCTCTCTGTCAGTAGTGAGAAGTGATCATGGAAGTCAAAACATTTTGGATGGACAGGTTGGGAGGGGCTGCTCAGGTATAGTCTGTGTGCAGACTCAATAATTTCTCCTGATGATATTGAATGTGAAGTGAAAATATGAGAGAAAACAATGATTGATGGCACGGATATGGGGATTCTTCTTTTCAGTTTTCAACACTATGAGGGTTGGCATATGATCCATCCAAAAGCACGAGTCTTGCAAAATGTTTGTGAAATTTCATGGGAATCCCTGTCTCCTTTTTTTAGTGGTAAAATATGTGTCTCGCAGTCTCAAACTCTTCACAAAGCTGTCTTGAAGTCTCGCGTTTTTTTGCAAGGCCATCAAAGTCTCAGCGAAGTCCCAATTTGTTTGTTATTTCCTATAATAATGTCTGAAGGTCTTGCAGTCTGAAAGCCATGCACTCAATTTAAAACACTTTGAAGTCTGGATCTCGCAGTTTAAAAAGTAAAAAAATTGTCTTTGGCTCACAAAGAAAGACTTTAGTCTTGCCTTCTCACAGAGTCGTCCATTTACCATTCACCTCCCTGACTATGAAAGTGATACGTAGCCAGGAAATATGATTCAAGTCCCTAAGGGAAACCTCATGTAATGGTCAGTGCCAGAAAAGGACAATGATTGACCTGGAGTTATATGCAATGGAAAGATTGGTTTTCTTTAGGTGTCAATTTGCTATTTCTTGTAAATCAAATTTTCTAAGATGTATGGTAAAGAAATCATTTTGCAGAGAGTGATGTATTGAAATCTTAATCCACAGGACAGTCCTGTTATGCTGGCTTCTTTTGCTGTAGGTGTCGGGCTGGTTTTCACTACATCAGGATTTATTTATAGTCTCAGGTATGTGTAGCTTATTATTACTTCATTTTCAGGACATTTCAAATCAACTTCTTCTGGAAGCACTTAAAAGATCTGCCAATTCTTGGCTCGTAACCAATTTATGATTTCCAACAGTTGCAAGAATGAGGCCTTTTTGGGGTAAATTTAGAGGTGCCGAGGGGGCCTGGCTCCCTCCATTTAGCTCAAAGACTTCAACGGGCCAGAAACATTTTGGCTCCCCCTTTACATATTTATTTTGGCATCACATACAAGTTTTGGCATCACTTATATTGGCCAACTGGATTTACAATTGATAGTAAATCCCTCAATTATTATGGGCTATGTCTGATCAAGCAGATCAGAACTGATTGGATAAATGTGAAAGGCTAATTTAGGCTTTTACTCAGGATGTCGTCTTCAGAAATTTCATTCATGCTATCCATTTTAATCATATTACACAGGAGTGTAAATCGTCTGGTCCTTCAGGGAAATAACCTACGAGTGGTGACACATACTCCTCTGGGTGGTACAAGGTCAGTGACTGTCCCCATCTCAGATGTGTCCTGTACAGGGTCTAGAATAGGTAAGTTTAAAGTTGACAAAGACACAATAAGAATTAGACACCATAAGAATCCATGGGTATCCAAAATAACCTTCTGCATTTTGTTTGTGTTGCTTAGACTAATATGCTTTTCAAAACAAAAACAAAGCATGGCTGATTTCTTAAAGCTGTGTTACATAAGTTCCATGACTATAAAGGGGTGATACCTCTTAAATCACCACAATGTTTAGGTTTAAAGATATGTAATTTGCAAATTTATGGCATTGCCAGTCATGGAATATTATAGGTTAATGTCTGTTCCATCTACAAAGCTACAGGCCTCTGTCAGGAAACCTGGCATTATACTTGCATTCTGACCCTTTCTGACCCCCTCTCTCCCCCCTTTGGCTTGTCATGAGTCATAAGAGTGTTCTACTCGTGGTGGAATTCACCGAGATGCATGTGCAATGAATACAAACATGTTGTGCTTGTCTGTTGTCTTGAAAGGTGCAAAGCCTCAGGTGCCACTGAAGTTGAAGGGACACCGTTTCTTTTTCCTTTTGGATAAAGAAGGAGAGTTTGTACAACCCACCCTGTTTGACAAGACTGTTGGGATAAAGAGATTCTAAAAGATGGCACACAGCATGGGAGACATGTCTTTAAGCAGAAGTGGAGGAGAATGGTGACTGGTAGCAGCTTTGTTCAGTCCCTGTAATCAAGTAACTTTGATCAAGCAGAAGTCTCTGAGAAACTACTGAACCTTGTGTTTTTCTATCCTCTTTGGGCTTGTAACGCAATCCACAGGGGGAAGATTGCGTGAGAAGCCCAAAGAACGTCTGCCCAAGAGGCTAGTGGTTCTCATCACAATAAGCAATTCCATGTATCCTCATTAACAACAACAACAACAACAACAACAACAACAACAACAACAACAACAACAACAGTAACAACAACAACAACAGCAGTCCCATGTACTCTGTTTTGAAAATGAAATTTTGGAATACCTGACGTTTCACAAGCATTGGACCAAGAATGTCTTGGTCCAATGCTTAGGGTAAAATTGAAAACTCTAAGTTCTTTGATGCTGATTTTATTCCCAAGGAACAGTACTCGCTTCTGTGTTATGAAGAAAGGCTAACGCTTTTAAAAAACGCTGATACCTAACACGTCAAAGCAAACGCACAAACATATTTCCTTTGTGTTAAGATAGCATTAAAAACGCGCGTGCGATGTCCCTTCTCGAACAGCAGCTGGTAATCAAACCGTTCCATAGTACACGGAAAAAAAAATCACGATGTAAATTGTTCTACATTTTAATAAAAATATTAAGCTTTAAGAATTTACTTTCTACCGTTGTTGTGAATTTTACACAAACATAGGGATGTAAGTTAAATAATTATTACATAGTTTTTGCTTAACATAGTTTCATCCTGCAAGCTGGTTTGGTACAGTACATTAAATAACTTTTGTCTGGAAGTTCAATAAAACTATATGTATATCCGTTGACAAGGTATTAAAAAATTACATCACAACTTCCAGATAAAATTATTACCTTAAAGTAACGATTTTGTGACAATTGTCTAACATCAATTTGTCTTTCACAATATTGACATTCTCTCCTTGTTCTGCCTTAAGCAAAAGGGTTTCCTAGAGTACAAGAGTTCATTAAATTATCATCATTTAAAATGAAATTTTGTACTTTTTTTCGTCAATTTAGTTAAGTTCGATTTTCACCGCCCTCCCAAGTCCGATCTACGGGCTCCTTTCCCGAACAGTGACTGGTAATCGAGCTTTCAGTTTAGTGTGAACGCAATTCACTTTCTATATCTTAGCACTACAAAAATGAACAAAGTTTGGAAGAATTATGATCAGGTGTTTTCGCTGAAAACAGTTCTCTTTCGATTGAAAATAACTCAACAGCTATTTCATTGTACAGTATTCACATTGGTCTGACGTTGTATAAGAGATTTTAAACTTGCCCCACTTTACGTGATTCAGGCAGCCTTCTCCATTCAATATTTATTTTTAGACCTCGAGCAGCCTTTCCTACGCTCGATGGACATGAAAAAACGACGTGTTGTTTGTTGTCTAATTTATTTCCGACAACTTTTTTCCGTTGTCTATCCGACAGCTAGAACACTGATATAACATAACGAGCTCTGAAAACTACACAATTATATTGAATTCAATAATTGATATTCTGTAGCTACTTTCGATTTGTCTCGTCATATATTCGTGTCCGTCGAGCTAGGACCACCTGTGTGTTCAAATTGATATTTCATGTTGTGCAAAAAAACGTATATTTGTGCCTTTACTAAGAACTATTTCTAGCTATTTCAGACTGTTGAATAACAATTCAGGATTACAGCAAAAGTGTAAAGCTTCTGCAATAAATTAACGTCTCCAGAAATACTTAAGTTGTATTCAGGACAAAGGTGATTTATGCTTAACTTTAAAAAGCGACACATTCAATTTAATTAATAGAGGATAAATGAATTTCACTTAAATTTAATGTCGCTTGGACTCAATTATTTTTTTTAAGAAAATAACAGCTATTCAAATCCTTGAGCAAAATATCAAAAATGTATCATACTGAATTCACATATTTTACCTATTACCTCCGTTAATAAATGGTCGGATTTTGGTTCAATGATTATTTCATTCACTTCTGTAATTTCTTTTACTTCACTTCTTTTTTTTCTAAGTACTCTGGCATTGTTAGAAGAACCTTGCAAAACTTGACGCTTCCAATGTTTTAAGGAACCCGCCTTTTATTATTGAAATTTCTTTTGCTTTCCAAGTTGAAAGACGGCACCAAATTTAATTACCAAACTAAACTTGAATCTCTTCATAAATAACTGGTAACGCTCTCCGCATTTACTTCTTCGTCGTTCTCGCCATCTATATCAACGACGAAGGAGGCCAAGGGAATGTTGTCTGGCTCTGTTGGCGAATCTTCTGTTGGTTTACTTTCTTCTTTGTCTTTATCAGTGTCATTTTTAGTATCCTCAGAGGATGGCTCCTCGGGAGTGGGGTATTTGCTGACAAAAAAACAAAACATCACAAGAAAATAAATCATCATTGTAAGCACTTCGTGGCGACGTTTTAGTTAGTTTTCGTCCAGCCGTACGCTTGGAAGTGAACTTTTAAAAAAGCTGGCGTGGGGAAGTTTTCAGTCTGCTAACGACATTTTGGCCAAATGCGGTGCAATTTTACGTAAAGTTCTCATAAAATAAAATGCCGAATAACGCTTGACACAGATGAAATGACATTTCCCTCTTTTCCTAATACATGTGGGCCGCTCTGTTTTTCTTTTAATCGTTTTCTTCTCTTCTGACTACGCGTTACTTTTTTCGCGAAACTGCGTTGTACAGTACAATACAGGTAGAAATCGCTACGTTGCAGTTAGATGAACACATGCTGCCTTGTTTTAGGAAATCTCTTGCGACGTAACAACCGGACAAGCTACAGGATAAGATCAAACTCGAGCTAAACGTTAACTAGAGTTAAACAAAAACGAAGCCTAGTCGCATATTTCCGTGATTTACGACAGGAAGCCTACAGCTCATACTTACCTTGGCTCATTCTCAAAGGATGCATGTCGGCCCAGTCTTCCTCTGGCTTTCGCCTCAAAAGTAATACCGGGTTCTTCATCTTCACTGCTGGGAATGGGCCCTACTTTTGCCTCTATTGTCGGAGACGATTTTCCATCCTAATAACCAAAATGTTTATGAACGACAAGCGTTAAATAACGAGGCAAAACCGAGTAACTGAGGTATTTATTCCTCGAATATAAAAAGTCAGTAATTTTTACCGTAACCGTCTTGAAGATACATAAATTTAATTTCCTTTAGCTGTAGAATGATAGACGTACATGGGTAAATAGATATATACAAGAAAAAAATCTGTCAAATAACGGGACAAAACGCAGACTTTTGGCTCCCTCGTCACGCAATCATTTGTTTGTTTGCTGCGTGACATGTCAAAAGGCCGTTCTTACCACTGTTTATCTTTTGTGTCTTGAGGCAATATTTGAGTCTGACTGTAACGTCTAAGGATCTCGTAGACGCAAGGTGTAACATTCTCTCAGTCCGACACATACCCTTACTTTAAACCGTTTCTTGAGCACGTTCCCTGGGTCACCATGATTATTTACGACAGCAAGTTTCCTTTCTAGCGGAATTATCAATTATTAGCTATAGAGCCATGTACCTGGTGGTCTTCCTCTTCAAATATATCAGACAGGTTTTTCTTGAAGGGATCCGGGCGTCGCTTGTGGTGTTTATGTCGTTTTTTGTGTTTTGGCTTGTGTCTGTGATGATAGTGAACAGGTTTGGAATTGACTAAAATCTGATTTTGATACGCTGTTTCTCTTGGTTTCCTGTAAAAAATAAATAATAATAATAATAATAAAAATAATAATAATAATAAAATAGAGTAACTCTTAGCAATTGACTTCAGTTATACGGAATTGAAGTAAACTGTGAAATGACCAGAAAAGTTGAAAATTTTTAACCTAACAGGGTACAAAGAAGGCAAAATCGTGTTTAATTTCTTTCGAAAGCGCATGCGCAATACTGATATCTTTAAATTAACGAATCGATAAACTATTTTCAAATCAGTCGTGTGAAAAAGTAAACAAAATAACTGTGACGTGTTAAAGATCATTCTTTTCGTGAAAGACTATCACATCAAGATTTTTGCAGCTCTTAGGTGGGTGAAGTTCTGTACCACAAGCGCACAGTAGAAAGTGATGTAAGTAATATAAAGAAACCCGTTGCATTTATGTAATTGCGCGGATGACCCTCACTGGTGTGGGGTGCAGGCTTCAAACCTGTAGCCGATTAGCATCGGAGCGGTTCGATTCCGCCTTCTGCGCGACACATTTTTACTGTTCACAAGTAAAATAAAGATTTTCGCGGGCTAAGGTATTTTCGACTGGACAAAAATTATATTTCACAGTCCGACTATGTACAGGGCTCTCGCCATAAGAGCTGCTTTTCATTGACGTTTTGTTTGCTAAAGAGCTCTGATTGGTCAAAATAATTTCATACCACGCGCTCCAACCAATCACAGCAAACATGGTATTTCTTAACCAGTCAAGAGCAATGCCAAAACTAACCGGGTCTTAGTTTCTCGCGCTTGGAACAGCTAGCGAAAGCAAACAGATTCCCTCCCGTTTTTACACGCCAACGGTGCGAAACAGGTAGCATTCTGTCTGAGCTCGCCGGCTACCGTTGACACATAGTTATAACATTTCACTTCGAGTTCTACATGGCCACACGTAATACTTACATGGGCATAAGGTAGCCTCTCTCACCAAATAATTCTTCATCGTCGTCAATGAGGTTATTTCTGTACATTTTCCTATGTCTCTGTTGCAAAAGAAGTGTATTTACAGGTAAGTAATACAAGTTACTAGTGCACGATTCAAGAGTATGCGAAGGAGAAAGCATTGAATAAAATCAGGAAAACCATATTTACAAATGATCTTCTGTTCCTCTCTATAAGATTGTTTAAGCTATGGCTTGAAGTGTCGTGAATTTCAAGTTCGCCGCCACTTGGCACTGAAATGTCAGAAAAGAGAGAGTGTTACTAAGTACAATGGGAGCGCATTTCAAGCTGAACCACCCCCCCCCCCCTCTAGTTTTGCAAATTTGCTGTGGTAGGAACTCAGTTGGAGAAAAAAGAAAGTAAATTAACGACGCCTACTGACAACAAAAACTCAATTACTCGATAAAAGAAATGACAGAAATAATGTACAAACTGCCGCTAAGAAGAGATGGCGAGGTATTCCTACATGTCTGGTAAAAGCACAACAAACATTTTAATACTACATTCATCCCTGTAAAATGTGAAATCTAACATTCATTCCGTTCGCGAGGAATATTACATCTTTCACAGATAGCAGTTTACAACATCTGCCAGCTACAGGGTCATGTATTACAGTAACAGTACCTCCTGCCGCTCTCCAGTCAACTTGAATAGCGTCTGGTACACGACATTCGTCACCCGCTCTGAAGAAAAGGAAACAACATTGCAACCCACGTTAGAAAATCGTTTACAAATATTTTTTCCTTGTCATCTTTTCTCATATAAATTTTATCCCCTCCAAAAGTGCAGTACTTATATTCCTAAGGATTGTTCACTGTCCCTGACAACACTGAAGCTTGTGCTTATGTTTATGTCAAGTCAGAACGCGCTGTTGTAAGCACAAGCATAAGCGAAAGTCCGTCATCTTGTTTTACTGTTTAGAGGAGGCATGGAACCGAAATTAAGCCAATTGTCCGGGCGTCCTCACTAGCGTTATGCTTATGCTTATGTTGTAGCGAAAACCTGGCTTTAGAGACCTTTCTAGATATTCTGTGATTCACTAGCCAAGATAACGAGCTTTTCACGACAGTCGCAATGAAACGAGGGTAGTGCACGTTACCTCAACATAGCCTTGTTTTCGTCTTCTTCTTCACTCGTTTCACTGAAAAAGCGAGACAAACAAGACAGGGCGGTTTAATTAGCAATTCTTATTTTCTTCCAGTCGGGTACAGATGAAATCTTTCCGTGATGGGGCTTACGCGAGCTTACTAGCGGTTTCCCGCGTTTGGCACGGGTTGTCTGGTTTTCGAGTTCTCATTGCACTGGTAATAACGTTATTCACAGCGTGTCTTATGATTGGCCAGATGGAATGCTAGTCCATCGTTAAATCACTGTTTAATAAACACAAAGTCACTTACGCAGCTGTGATCGCTGCAGCCTCGAATGCGCTACGAGCCAGCAGTTCAACAGGAAGTCTATGAGCAATGGAGAGGGAACAACAATAAGTACATGAAATAAGCCATGGAAATAATCTCCCAGAGAATCTAAACTTGTCAAAGTAACGCGAGCATTTCAAGCACAATGGAAGTGGTCTTCAAAACGAGTTATGTAACTCAAAGTGGTAGTAAAGCACAACACACGCTAACAGCTGAAAGCATTCTCGGGACATGATTATTAGCAGGTCAAAAGAAAACAAGTCTAACAGGTCTGTCTGGCTGAACATATTCTTTAACTTATATTCAAATAAAGTGTCATTGTTGTAGACAGCAAGTTCAGCAGGTTAAAAAAGTCTGTCACTGAGATCAAAATGCAAGCGACATCCATGGTCGAGTCGTGTATTCCGCTTTGATCTTTATAATTTTCAAAGCTTCTTACCCTGAAGAAAACAGGACTGTTCCACTACCTTCTCTCTCTAACCGAGTCAAGGCATCTCTGAAAAAGAAAGGCAAACAGAAAAACGTCAACAGATCAAAGTTGTAACATCTCATTAATGAGACAATCAAACTTGTTGTGGCATTTTTTCAACACGCTAAAACAATTGCGAAGGTCATCCGGA